AAAACAGATACCTAGTACCTACCGGGAACTCGCTAGTTCGCTACTGCCTACCGGCCCTACTACGATATTTGAATATTACTAATATTAGGTATTTAAAAAGTACTTCAATTTGAAAATAATAATTAATATAAATACCATAATATTGCAGTACTAATAATACTATACAATCTGTATTCTTTACTTTTAGTAGAACATTTCTAATATGGAATAATAACATTTGTTACATATTACAATTGGGTACGATAATATATTATAATATAGTATATTTAATTACTATAGGTAGGTACTTTAATAATAAAAGCTTATAATTTAATATTTTTAAATAATAATGATTAAAACTATKTAMATTTTTAAAATAATCATATTTTATTTAAGTTTGCTCAATAGAAGACAAATGGATTATAATGAAGTCAAAGTTAATCTAAGGAAATTTGGTTTTCCACTTTCTACTGAAAATGCATTAAATCAAATACGTAAGTATCATTTTATCAAAATGAATTTAAATATATAGAATATTTTGGGAAGTTTTTATACTTTAAATTTACATGGCTTTATTTTTTGAACAAAAATGTGGTTACATTCAATACCTATATATGTGGTACTATAGAGAAGTCTGATGTACCTGTTTTTTWAATTATTATTTTAGAGACCATTATTAATGGTGAGACATCGCGGAAACAACATTTAAATGAAGATCTTGCAATGGATTTGATATCAGAGTTTATATTTTGTGAAACCAATGAAGAAGGAAAATCTACTAAGGTAATTATTATAAAACTATTTCTATTCGATAGAATTTTTACATTAATAAATGTTTTATTTTTATCAACAGCCAATGTCTCGAATTAGGTATTTAGAACTTCTAGTAATGATTTGTGAATACTTCAATAAGACAAAAATTAAACCAGATAATGATAATTGTTGTGGAGATACAGCTCTCAATGCTATATTTATGACTTTGTTCCCACAATTTGGTGCACCACCTCAGCGATCTAATATGTTAGTGAGCTTAGTGTCATTGGCTATATCTACTTACTCTAATCTCATACTCCAATCTGCTGGTGTACAAATGCAACAATTGGGTTGTTCGTCTAAGTACAGCTCTCAGTTAGCTGATGGACTTGTAAAAAAGTTTTTTACTTTTATAAGTTCTAACAGTCCATCATTACATTTATTACCGCAAAATGCTCCATTATTTACTGCCAATTTGATGACTTCACTATCAGAACTTTATTTTAATACAAGTAATAATAAATAATATTATAATAACACTAAACATATATTTAAGTTTATTTTTAATTAAATATTCTGTCTAAAAAAACAACAAAATAATTTTATTTATTTTTTTATGAGTACAAAAGTTTTATTAACTAAAAGTCTCAGTAAGTCAGTTATTTATTTTTATTTTATTCAATTTTAGAAACTACCGACACAAGTATAATTATCAAAGAGCCACCTCGTATTATATTAGAAACTGTTGTGCGGTGGATCAATTCTGATCCTTGTTTATGTTTTACCGCACATTACACAGATTTACAACGAGCATTACCGAGTGGTGCAATTCCAATGGCAGCTACATTACCTTTCTTAGGATTGTTCAGATGGTGTTTCTTTGCTCCACTTTGTGTGAAAAATAATAAAGACTTAGAACTGTATTCTGAACTCCATTGTGCATTGATTGAAAGTGTTATGCAAGGTTGGAAAGTATATTCAGAACAAAATCCGAGAGTCAGCCGTCCTTATACTCTGAGTGTACATTCTGTAATACCTCAACAATTAAAAGACCTTATTGAAGAGACCATTAAGTAATTATCTTATTGCAAAATTATTATTTTACTGTGATATATTTTTTTAATCATTTAGTAATTTTTAAATAATTATTTACATAAGAATTTTAATTATATACAGGGTATCCCACAAGAATTTACCCATTGCAATATTTCACGAAATAATGGAGATATCAAAATTCTGGTTTTATAATAAGATTCACAGGGATAAGAACTACAACTATTTCATTTTTAAATTTATTTTAATGTTTTTGTAAAAAATTTAAAAAATATATTTTTTTATTTAATCATTTCCAAAAAAATTAAAGATAGCCATTTTGTAGATTTTATTTTTCTGAAAATATAGACGTTTCAAAATTTTATTTTTATTAATTTCCTGAGTTTTAATATTTCTCTAGTTTTGAAGAAATAAAATATGATTATAACTATTAGGAACATGGAATGTATGCAGCCGGCCTTATGGGAATTCGCGTGGCGCGGCGGGTCACATGTTTCAAAACATTACGGTGTTAAATAATTCATAATTTTTCTCAAAACTTAAAAAAAAATTTTTAATTAGGAAATTAATGAAAATAAAATGTTGAAAAGTCAATATTTTAGAAAAATTAA